GTAACATAGAATTCCAATTGAATGTAATTTACTTAGTTTTTCGATTTCATGAAAATTTGGAACTGTCATAACCATTTTTAAGTAAAACAATTAAATATTATTTTAAAAAAACGATTATGACTTTTATATGGAAAAATTGGGTGATTTTGGATTAATTAAAATTAAATTGAAAATGGAGTCGCCATCGACCTTTAGATTAGGCAGGTCGAATACCTAAAAACGTCTTTCAAAATAATTTTAAGAAAAATCATTTTTAAAGACAAAAAGGGGTCTGCGTTTACCAGAAAATTGATTTGATGGGTTCGGGAGTCGGTTACGCGTGGGGAAGGATTAGCACCCCACAGCGCCCAAAATTGGTACTGTATCGCTTACATATCGTCGTGATGATGGAAATTAAAAATCGAATATAAAGTTAAATTACGATCCATTTATTGAAATTTAATTAATTTACTTCGAGTTAACTATTTAAAGAAAATCCTTTAACTTGATAAGAAATCTTGAAATTTGCAATCCTCCGTCGGGAAAGCTATTTCAACTATTTCTCTTTTGTAAAAGAATATTCTACCATTGATTATGTAAAAAATTGCGAATCAAATATAACTAAAAACGATGTTTACATACGAGTAAATTGATTAACTAAAAAACGTGAATTGAATACAAATTAAAAAATTTGAAATTTACATTCACATAAAATAAAATAAATTGTCACTTAAAATAACACACATTGCATCGTTTGAACAAATTAATTAGCAAAATATACTCGACTTATTTCAAGTTTCTATGTCGTTAAAATGCCGTACCGGATCACACCACTTCGATCAAGTGGTACTTTCCACGCCCATTCTACGCATACATGTTCTTGAAATTATTCGAAACAAATCGATAGATAAAGGAAACAATGAAAACAAATATAATTTGAAAATCATAAATAAACACTTACAACATATAAGATTGATAATGTACGTAAAATAACATTGATAGTTGTAATAAACAAAATACATATACATACAGGACTAGAACAAAATAAAATATTACAGATCTAAACACAAATAAATAATCACATTTGATTTAAGGTACCAAAATAAAATAATAAAACCTAAAGGAATAAACAACAAATAAACAAATAATCCAGGGCCAAGAACAAAATATTAAACAGTATGCAAATCATACACAAATAAGATTAGGGACTAAGATGAAAATAATAGAAACTTAACAGGCCAAACAATAATTATAAATAAAGAAGAGCCCAGATAGCAAACATTAAATAAATACATGAACCAGAAATATAAATAACCCATAAATAATACTTAGGACTAGATTGCATTAAAATATAAACATGAAGGCTGAATAAAAAATTAAACCAAAAGTAAAACAGTGACCAAAATGAAAGATTTACAAATGTTGCTGTCAAATTCGAACATAAAAAAAACAACACATGATCAGTGACTAAAATGTAAGATACATAATATCATATCCAAATTCGAACGTTCACAAAAAATAAGCAACACACAAAAACCCGTGACTAAATTGAAATGATTATAAATATTGGGACCAGTCACATATAACCAGAATAGCATAACAGGTAATAGCAGGACTAAAATGTAAGGAAGGAAAAATAAAGGCTCGAAATCAAATAATATAACTTCATTATATGGCTTAATAATTATATTACAAAGCGCGGGGGACTAAACGTGTAGTTACCCCACAAGATAAAAACACTGAAGGTCCCTTGCTGAAACGGCGCCGTTTTGATTGAATAATATAAGCCCAAGATCGGGCTTGCTTACCCATTCATCCCCATTTCTCATCTCTTATCAAAATAGAGAGGAGAGAGATTCAAAAATCTCTTAAACTCCTCTCATCGGAGAGAGGGACCCGGCTGAGCTTGCGGTAGCAAGCAGCGACGCACGACTGCTGGCGCGGCGGCCGACCCCTCACCCTCCTTTACCAGAAACCTAAACCATTTTCCTCTAAAAACCACCTAACAACCTAGATCCAAGATTTCCTCTCGAAAGCTTTGAACTCCGGCGACCACTTGGCTTTCCGGCACTCCTCCGATGAAGGATCCTCGCCGACCCTCTCTTTTTTTTTCGGTTGTGGTCGAATAGATACCCCTTTTTTTCTTCTTTTTCTTTTATTGATGCATGTGTTGATATCTTCTAACTGATGGATGGTTGAGTTCGTAGGGAATATCCCTATACTCATGCTGTCATCTCGGATTTGATTAGATTTGCTTGGATTTTTCTAATTTTTAATTGATTTCTCTGCTATCTCACTGTTGAGGGTCACTGTGGATGACGGATGAACTGGAGAATTGGCAGTGGCTCGAGAACTCACCAGCGCGCACTCGGCTCGGAGTGACCGGTGAAGACCACGCAAGGCTGGGGAAGCTAAATAGCCAGAGGCGGCTGGCTGGCTTGCTGATGAGTTAGTCGGCGGCTGCCATTAGGGGATTAGGGTTTGAAACCCTAATCTGTTTTAGGTTTGAAACCCTAATCTATTTTAGGGTTTGAACCCTAATCTGATGGTTTGGTTCAGGGTACTGGGCCATTAGGTTTAGCTAGTTGGGCTCCGGGAATGGACCTTCTGTAATCTGGGCTTAGTGGCCTACAAAAATTGTAATATGTATTAATAAACATAATAATAAAATATAATAATAATAAATAATATATATAAAATAAAAAAGACCCGGACAAAAACGGTTCTACAGCTGCCCCTCTTTGCCCATTCTTGTGTTAACAAGAATAGGGCAAGACGACAAGATCACATTTTTGTCTGGTTCTCCCTTAGAAATTAGATAATTTTGGTTGTTGGGGACGACACTACTCATACGTGATGAAGAGTTCGGGTCGTTTTAAGATTAACGCGGTTCCTACGTGATGAGGACATCTGGTCGGGGAATGACACGGCTCATACGTGATGAAGAGTTCTGGCCATCTAAAGGTGATAACACGTTCCTACGTGATGAGGACGGCTGGTTATCTATGGTTGACACGCTCCTACGTGATAAGAGATCTGGTCTGGGAATGACACGGCTCATACGTGATGAAGAGTTCTGGCCATCTTAAGGTGATAACACGGTTCCTACGTGATGAGGACGGCTGGTTATCTATGGTTGACACGGCTCCTACGTGATAAGGAAATCTGGTCTGGGGATGACACGGTTCCTACATGATGAGGACGGCTGGCCATCTTTAGGAGCTATGGTTTCAAGAGAAACCAACTCAAAGATGTGTTTCAATAGAAACAAACTCAAAGATTGGATTTTGATAAAAATTGTCTCAAGGGAGACAAAATTCGTTTCAAGAGAAATGATCTCAAAGATATTTGCTTTGTTTCAAGTGAAATAACTCAAAGATAAGTTTTTCCAAAGCAACTGTCTCGAAGAGACAAGATTCGTTCAAAGGAAACAACCCAAAGATGGCATTTAAAGGGAATTGTCTCAAGCGAGACAAAATTTGTTTTTTAAGGGAAACGTTCTCAAAGATCGGTGTTTCATGGGAAACTGTCTCAAATGAGACAAAATTCATTTCAAGGGAAACGATCTCAAATATGTTTGTTTTGTTTCAAGGGAAACAGATTCAAAGATGATAAATTTTGTTTCCAAAGAAACAAACTCAAAGATTTTTCTCAAAAGAAATTGTCTCGAGAAAAACAAAATTTTGTTTCCAAAGAAAGAGATTCAATGATTTTTTTTTTTAAAGACATTGTCATAAGAGACAAAACTTTGTTTTTCAGAAAATTGTATCTTAGTGAGACAAAATTTTGTTTCCAAAGAAACAGACTCAAAGATTTTTCTTCGAAAGAAACTGTTTTAAGGGATAAAACCTTGTTTCCAGAGAAACAAACTCAAAGATGATCTTGTTTTAAGAGAAAATGTTTCAAGAGACAAAATTCGTTTCAAGGGAAACGACTCAAAGATGGTTTTATTTCAAGAGAAACAAACTCAAAGATTTTGTATTTCTAGAGAAACTGCCTCAAAGGAGTCAAAATTTGTTTTAATAGAAACGATCTCAAAGGTGGGTATTTTCAAAAGAAGTTGTCTCGAAAGTCAAAATTTTGTTTCAAAGGAAACAAACTCAAAGTTTTTTTTCAAAAGAAATTGCCTTTAAGAAATAAAATTTTGTTTAAAAAGAAACAGACTCAAAGATGGGTTCCGTCTTAAGTGAGACGAATTTTTTTCCAAAGGAAACAATCTCAAAGGTTGGTTTTTCATTAGAAACTGTCTCAAGAGAGACAACATTTGTTTTTAAAGAAATAGACTCAAAGATGATTTTGTTAAGAGAAACAAACTCAAAGATTTTCAAAATGAACATATTCAAAGATTTACTTCAGAGAAACGGTCTCAAGAGATACAAAATTCATTTTAAGAGAAACAGATTCAAAGATTTTTGTTTCAAAAGAAATTATCTTAAGAGAGACAAAATTTTGTTTCCAAAGAAACAAACTCAAAGATTTTTGTTTCAAAAAAACAATCTCAAAGATTTTTTCACGAAATTGTCTCAAGAGAGACAACACTTTGTTTCAGACTCAAAGATTTTTCACGAAATTGTCTCAAGAGAGACAAAACTTTGTTTCAAACTCAAAGATTTTTCACGAAATTGTCTCAAGAGAGACAAAACTTTGTTTCAAAATAAATAGACTCAAAGTTTTTTTTTTCAAAAGAAACAACTCAAAGATTTTATTCAAAAGGAACAAACTCCAAGATTTTTATTCAAAAGGAGCAAACTTCAAGATTTTTTCAAGAGGAACAAACTCAAAGATTTTTTCAAGAGAAACTGTCTCAAGAGAGACAAAAAAAATCGTTTTAAAAGATTCAAATATTGTCGATTTTGTTTATATTGAAATAATCTCAAAGGTGTTTTCAAAAGTGTTTATTTTGTTTCAAATGAAACAATTTCAGGATTTGTTAAAAGGGAAACTGTCTCGTGCGAGACAAATCAGCTTTGAAAATCTCAAGTGATATTAATTTTGCTTTAAGTACAACAACCTTGAAATTT